GGGGAGAACTGTGACGTAGTGGGGGTACCTGGCTGGGCTGTGGTGACCCCTGCTGTCTGGAGCAAGACCCAGCAGGGAAAACCTGGCTAGGCAGAGATAAGGCCAAACTGGTTGAACCAGTGGCCAGACACCCCCCATGGAGCGGAACAAAGGAAGGTGGATGCGGCCCTGACTGCGGGGGCAGGGCTGGAGGGGAATTTAGTTAGACTGTGGAATTGAACCAGTGGCCAGACACCCCCCATGGAGAGGAACAAAGGAAGGTGGAATGCTGCCCTGACTGCGGGGGCAGGGCTGGAGGGGAATTTAGTTAGACTGTGGAAGAGCATGGAGGAGAGCCTAGGGGAAGGGGCTGGAGTTTAGGGGCCCAGTCTCCCCCATCTCAAGGGGGCCTGAGGCATCCTAGCCCAGTTCCTGTAACCAGATTACATCTGTGCTGCGCTGTGCTGGAGGAGCAATAAACCACCCTCAATTCCACTGGCTGGTGCAGTCTGTTTGTGCCATTTCGGGGTGCAGGAGACGGGGAACCCCCAACGCGCCGTCACACCTGTTAGGGAGTTTCCCCTTGGAAGTAGTAAACTATCTGCCAGGACCACCTCCCCAGCCAAATGGAAGAGCTTCTCGGTGCAGTGTTCCCGGAGGCATTCCTCTCCATTGCAGTCACTAGACCATTCATCTTGGACGGTCAGCGTCACTGGCAGTGTTACGGTCTGATGGTCTCATCCATAGAGGTCCACTTAGCTGCCAGTTTGACTTTCCACCCAGGCATGGCAGGCTCATCAGTCTTCATTAAGCAGATGGTCGGTTGTTTTCTTAAAGGATTTGACAGGTTATACTCACAAGGTCAGCAGCTGATCCCAGGTTGGGACTTCAATGTGATCCTTTCAACACTTATGGGGCCCCCTTTCAAGCCATAGCAACTTGCTCATTACTGGTGGAAGGTGGCATTTCTGGTCTCAGTAACGTTATCTTAGGTGGGTGTCTGAGCTTACAGTCCTAACTTTCAACTTCCTTACACCATTTTTTATAAGGACAAGTCTTGGAAGAGCCCAAATTTCAGCCCTTTGTGTTCAAACACATTCAATTTGTACCAATTTATCTCCACCTTTTGCTTATGTTTATATATAATTTTTATAACAGGTTGAGCAAAAAATTGTTATTGCCTTCCACCTACCTGAAATTACTTAGGATACAGGCCCTGCCCAGCCAGTCTTGGGGTCTAGAGATCCTGTCCAGGCAAGAACCGACTGTGTTGAAGAGATGAGTGGCTTGGGAAGCCCATACTTGGCATTTGTCCTGTTTGGTGACAAGTATCAGAGGGGAAGCCATGTTAGTCTGAATCTGCAAGAACAACGAGGAGTCCTGTGGCACCTTATGGACTAACAGATTTATTGGGGCATGAGTTTTCGTGGGCAAAGACCCACTTCGTCTGACATGCATCTGACCAAGTGGGTCTTTGCCCACGAAAACTCATGCCCCAATAAATCTGTTAGTCCATAAGGTGCCACAGGACTCCTCGTTGTCCTATTTGGTTTTGCTGGAACAGCTTAGTCAGGGGGCCTCTTTGAGTAGAAATGTGGGATCCAGTCAGCGCAGAGGGTTATTTACAGGGACATGGATGATGTCCATTACTTAATGAAACAATGCTTCGCATGCAAAGCATTTCACACAAGAGACATGATGGCTTGAGCCAGGGCTAGGAGCACTGCAGAAGCCAATCCAGTATCCGAGAGAGAACTTTGAAATTTGATACCCAGAAGACCTTGCTTATTCCTGGGGGGAATTCTGAGCCAAAACAATTAACCATACTGTCCACAGTCTTTTAAAATTCTGCATGTTTTATTTGTCAGAATAACACAGTATGGTCACAGCAGCTTCAGTTATTTTGCTAATTTATTTCAAAATGCCTGTCAGTCAGGATGTCTGTAATAAGCCAGACAACAAAAAAGATGCAGGAAATGTTTTTTGATCAATTCGTTCCTAGGCACATTATTACAGAACTCTGAATAATAATGCATTTAAACCACAATACGGAACCATATTTCCCAGACCCCTCAGTAGCAGTACAAAGTCTGGGGAGTTGGGTACCAGAGGAATTGAGGAAGAGGAAAATAATTTCAGGGAAGGAACCTTGGTGTGAGCTTGGAAGGTTGTTGGGTTTGGGTGGGGAAAGTATGGAACAGGTTTTTTGTGGGGGATGGGGAGAGACTATTAGGGGGCTTCCCCCATACAGACCTGGCTCTCCCATGGCACATGCGCCCCTCTCGTCCCGCTCAGACACCCACTCCTCCCATTTCTACATGTCTTTGCGACCCCTCCCCCTGTCTGCATGTGTCTCTGTGCCCCTGCTCAGCCACCTCTTGTCCCTGTGTGGCCCTGCGCCTCCCTGTCATCATGTGGCCCTGCACCTCCCTCTTCCAGTGACCCTGTGTCTCCACTCCCATTCAGCCCCGCCTCTTTATGATCCTCGTCTGACACCCCCAGCATCCCATACTGCCTGGCTTCCGCTAGCCCCCTCTCCTTACCTGTAGGGATGTCAGTGAGTAGCCGAGGCAACTTCTTGCATTCCCCCCACTTGCTGCCTCTGTGTCAGCAATGCTGGTGAGGAGCCACATGGGTGTCTGGTGCGCGAGGCTGGGGAAGGGTTACTTTCCCAAACTGCCAGGCATAGCCCTGCCCGCACTCCATCCCCAGAACACCTGCTCTAGGCGTTCTGGGGCCGAGTGTTGCTGCCCCCGGCAGCCCCCTCCCGGCGCGCCAAGGCTGGAGAGGCCCGGCCGGGCCAAGCGGTGCACCCTCCTCCCTTCCCTGGTGCTCCAGGGCGAGAGACGCAGGGTCGGGACGCACGGCATGCACTCCTCCCTTCCCTGGTGCTCCAGGGTGAAAGACGCAGGGTTGGGACGCACGGCATGCGCTCCTCCATTCCCTGGTGCTCCAGTGTGAAAGATGCAAGGTCGGGACGCACGGCATGCACTCCTCCATTCCCTGGTGCTCCAGGGCGAGAGACGCTGGGTCGGGACACACGGCATGCACTCCTCCATTCCCTGGTGCTCCAGGGCGAGAGACGCTGGGTCGGGACACACGGCATGCACTCCTCCATTCCCTGGTGCTCCAGGGCGAGAGACGCTGGGTCGGGACACACGGCATGCACTCCTCCCTTCCCTGGTGCGTGGGGGCTGGAAAGGCTGGGCCGGGCCATGTGGCATGCCCTCCTCCAAGGCTGGGGCCATGCCACGTGCCCTTCGCCCTCCTCCATCCCTGGGGCTGGGGAGGCTGAAATGAGTGTGCACGTAGCGCACTGCCCTGCCCACCCATGAGGGGCTGGGAAGGGGCGGGACCTCAGAAGAAGGGGTGGGGCTGGAGGTTTGCCTCCGCTAGCCCTGCCTTCTCCAGCTGCCCATGGGGAGCCAGCTTAAAAGCTGGTTCCCTCCAGCACTTGCTGCATGGAACAGCCTGTGCC